CTTGCACACACAGAATGGTCTTGCTGTATGGTAGAAAATGATGAGGGGAAAGACCTGCTATCACAGTCTCTATCATACATTCACTGCCTGTAGACAACTGCTTCCAAGCATCAGGTGTTAAAAGACTCTGTATCCATCCATCCTCTCTCTCTCTCTCTCTCTCTCATCTGATTTGTAATCTGCCACAATCAGAAAGACTCTTGGTAGTTCACACATATCAGCTGAAATACAATACAACATCCACAGAAAAAGACTATAAAACTATATAAAAACTACACAGTAAGTCAGTTTGATAGTGTCAAAACATCCCCCCAAAGCTCTCCAAAACAACTCAATTTTTAATAGCTTCTGGAAAGCTGGGGCACATCACATTTTAGAGAGTGGTCTGTGTAGGCTCAGTCACAGAAAAAGCACACCTATGCCCCTCTCCTCTATCTCACAAAAGTTGGGCGTCACAAGCAGGTTCTCTGGGGACATCCAGGTTGGGTGAGTTGAACTGAGAGGAGGAGGCAATCTTGCAAGTATTTAATGCCAAGCCAGGTTGGGCTTTAAAAGGTCAGCATCAGCACCCTGAATTGCACCCGGAAACTAATGGCAAGCCAGTGAAGGGCCTGAAGCACAGGTGTCACATGCTCATCTCAGTGGGTATGTGTCTAGTACAATATAACTTCTTGCTTCAAGTTCAAATACTGGTGCTTTTTCATTCTTAATAAACCAAGTTCTTAATTCTCACAATTGTGGATTACTGGTGAATATGCTACAGCAGGTCTTTCCTGAAGCAACCATAGATTATTCTGAAACTAATCCTAACTATTATTATTATTATTAGATTTTTATCCTGCTATTTATTTATTTGTATGTATGTATGTATTTCAAGGCAGCAAACATACCTATACTCCCATCTCTTCTTTTCCCCACAACAACCCCCCTGTGAGGTGGGTTGGGCTGAGAGAACAACTGACCCACCAGCTTTCATGCTTAAGGCAGGACTAGAACTCGCAGTCTCCTGCTTTCTAGCCTAATGCCTTCACCACTACGCCAAACTGGCTCTCATTATGCTGATTATGCTTTTCCATGCAGAGTTTTGTTTATAAAACTGAATTTTTACTGGAATATATGGTTATTCTTTCATTCTTAGGTCCCAACTCTGAAGAGATTGCAAAACGATTCCTAGAAAGTGGTCAACAGCTAAGCCCCAAATCCCGGGAAGAGGCAGCGGAATTTATGAGAGAACCCAGGAGGAAAGGTTAGGGAAGAAACGGTGGCCACACGCATTTGGAGCCCTGGAAATTATTGTCTGCTGTTCCTGTTGTTGTAGTTCATGTACTTTCCTTGCTAGAAACTTGAGACATGGGTCAAGTTGGAAATGAGTCATGCAGATACTATCAAGACTTCCCTAAACACTTCCAGAAGAGTTCTGGTTCTTTAACTGAGTAGCAGATGCAATTAGCTTATTACTGTCATCTGTTTTAAAGTATCTTGGCCTGTTCTTTGCTCTGTTCCTCAGAAAGCGACACTCTAGTGATGCAGGAACCCCGATTGATAGTAAAGACTCAGGATGGTGCACGTTGCGCAGAATGAGGTTACAAAATACCCTACAGAGGAAATAGGCTATATTGTCTGAGTGCTGAGGACAGGTGACATTTTAATGATCCTTCACATAAACACTCGTAATGTGCAATGGATTTTGCCAGGGCCTAGATGATGAGAAAAGACAAGATAATTTGGAGCATTTCCTTGGAGCACTTTCAAATGCAGGAAATGCAGTTAAGAATGCACTGGAAGGGAAAGGTTAATCCCCACCTTCCTCAGTGTTACCACAATCCTGAGTAGAATAATTCTCTTCCCACTTTTAAAGTAAATTCAGAGACAGGCAATTCATTTTGGTTGCCTTGTAGCAGATAGCTTTAAAGAGGTAGTTAAAGGGAATCCGTGGAGGATTGGTTTATGTGTGGCTATCAGGCAGTCATCATGTCTAAAGAAGGAAGAGACTTGAAGGATTAGCATGAGGGGAGCGTAGGTTTTTTTCTACCACGGGCCCTGCCCACCCCACCCTACATGCATGCTTTCTGGAAGATTTGACCCAACTATTTTTTATAGGTATGTCAAATGGGGCGAAATCTCTTCATGGTTAATGGATTTATCTATTTGTTAGCGTAGACTGGATTAACATGCACACACACACATACGCACACAGAGTACAGCAATACACATTTCTTTGATTCTATCTATAGCTTCATTCCCTTCCCCTTAGATTTTCATGCGGCTGCCTTGTCATTAAAGCTGGAGCTTATCACGAATACCAATAGTACAATGAGGTAAGCAATTATTCGTAAACAGAATAGTTGCCTAAAATTTAAAAAAAAAAAATGCCACGTCACAGGCTCATTTTTGCAGGATTGCCCTGGTAATGTGGTGTCCCATGTGAAAAAGAAAAATTCTCACGGTAATAGGATACTTCTTTCGGTTTGTACTTTGACTGACACCCCATTTTATAGGTAAGATTTAGCTTTTTATATCTGGCATTTTATTTCCTTCCAGTTTGCAGAAGGCGCTATTTGGCATACCTCTTTCTGTGACCGTATTAGCAAGTCCCATCTCCCCTGAATCAGACTCGGGAAATAACGGTTGCAGGCCCAGTATCCATTTCCAAGTTTGATTTCTGCCTCAAGCAACCCACAAATAACTCGTACCTGTATTGCACTCATGCCACACGGAGAACATGAGTAACCTTTAGTGGGCTCTGGGCTCCCTCTTCTGGCCGCCTCCATTTTGGTTCATTCCTGCCAAACTACTGCTGTCAGCCTGCAGTGGTCAGGTGACAGGATGCAAGGTGCGGGAGGGACCTCCTGGGAAGAGACCCTTAGGAAGGGGAGAGTCGCTTCCACAGGAATTCCCAAGCCATTTTCACCTGTGATACCCCTGAGGTTTTTCTTTAAACCCTGATTAAACAGAAGAAGGAGTAAGAACACAGAAAGATACCTGTGCGTTACTATTTTCAATAAAGCATGATTAAAACAAATCATGTTTTAGCATAATATGTGAATGCAGCAGAGTGTTGGGACCTTTTATTTAGCTGTGTTGCCAGTTGTTCCTCAGAGGTTAGTTGCCACATTTTAAGCTCTGGATCTAATAACTGTATATCTGCCTAATTCCCATCTCTTTTTCCCCTACTCCCATGTGTTTCATTTCCCTTTCTGTAATTCCCTTACATTTGGCAGTCCTCTTCCTCATTCTGCTGCCTTGGCTCTGAACTTTTGCTCTAGAGTAATATATATCACTTCAAGCAGAAGCCAGAAAGCTTTCTGTTAAGATGCTTCAGATTTCAATTCTTTTGTACTGAGTTTGGACAAAATGGCATCCAACCCCCTTCAAATTTAGTTGAAAATCCAGCTCAAAGAATTCTGAAAGCTGATTTCTACATCAGAGTAATTCATAGATTTTAATACAGTATCATACACTGTCTGAAGGCAAATTCCTCAGGTTCTGAAAGTACCCACGTGCCTGATTCTTTTGTCTGACAGAGGATGCTATCTTTGAAAATATATGAATTAAATTTTCACAAAGAAGAATGTGCTTTTCTGAAGGGCAGTCCTAGGCTGTATTTTCAGAAAAATCTCTGCAAAGTCAGTGGCACATTTCCATTTAACTATACCTAGAACTGTAGCCTGACTTGGCCATTCTGTATGTGTCTACTGAGAAGTCAATCTCACTGAATTCAGTGGAAAGTACACCCAAGTAAGGGACTGTAAATTGCAATCTACAATATAACCTTAAGATTGCAATCTCTCTTTTATCCACTTACTTGAAGGTAAGCACTGAATTCTCTAGGAGCTGTTTCTGAGTAAGTATTGCACTGAAAGTCATTTTGTTATCCTAGGTCTAAAAGTTAGCACAACAGTAGTGGCTAAATCCTGAAGAACTGTTAAGAGAACCCATATATTACCAGGCTGTGGAGACTGGAATCCACTAGCAGATTTCTGGGAGATATGAATGAAATCTGCAAGGACTTCTCATTTCCCAATTGTTTAACAATAAAAAGTCTCCCTTTTGCCCTGCAAAAGAAATCTGATACTGCAGAAATGAAGGAATCTGGGTTGGATTTCTGGATTTCTAGAATTCGGTCAGGCTATGAGCTCAGTTGATTTCTGTTTCTTAGAACAAATTCCTCGAATCAGAATAAAATGATGATGATAGTGATGATAATGATCCTAAAAATAACCATAATGCCCCTTAATTCTAATATTTAGTATTTCTATTTAGTTGCAAAGGACTTTTTTAAACTGAATCTGGGTGGAAAATGGATGAACTTTTTTGCCAAATAAAAGGACTAGCAGGAAGGTTTAGAATGTTTACCCCTCCCCCTGCATAATGATCAGAATCAGGATCCTCTATATTAGAATAAGTAAAAATAGAAGAGAAGCTGAATGGCTTGCATTTTATATATTCTGTACTCTGACCCTATTATTATTATTTCATTCTAATAGTGTCTGCAGGGTGGGGTTTGTTGTCTAGACCAGTGTTTTTCACCCTGTCAATATTAAGAAGTGTGGACTTCAACTCCTAGAATTCCCCAGCCAGCATGCTAGCCAGGGAATTCTGGGAGTTGAAATCCACACTTCTTAACTTTGGCAAGGTTGAGAAACAGTGGTCTAGAAGCTGCTTCTCTTACAGCACTTCCTGGAATGAGCAAATGACCATGCAGTGTTCCTTAGTTCTATGAAATGCTGAAGAAGATGCTACTTCTGGACAAAGAGCCCATATGACTGAGAGAATGGGGCATTTTCTAATCAAAAGGAAAGAAATATGCAAGTTTCTTTGCCACTTCATTCATTTTAAAAAGTTACTTTAATGTTTTTAAAAGCGAAAGAGGTATGCTAGCTTGGCTCCTTTTTCACAGATTGTCATCCTGGCATGAATCGAATGAGGACAAAGCACCCAAGTTCACTTCCAAGAGGATCCATGCCAGAATTTGTTTTATACTCCTAGTTTTGAAACAGATAGAACAGACAGGCATTACTGTTTTGGATACAGCTGCTCATGAGTCATTCCTATTGAAATATGATTTTTTTAAAATTATAATCAGGATTGCAGACTAGAACACACTTCAGTGACTGCTCATGAACCACTTGGAAAGAATACAGATTGAAGCCACTTCTTATGAATTTATTAATGTTAAATTTATTTATGGCCAAAAGGCCCAAATAGCAAGTAACAAATACAGTGTAAAATTTGGCATTAGATAAAATGGTTTAACAAGTAAAATATTTAGTAAATATTACATAACACACTTAAAACCCAGCTCATTGATGTGCTGCTAAAAACCTTGCTTTTATACCCATAGTTAAAAATCTGGCTATTGCCTCTGTAATTTTAGGATCTTCATCTACAAGTAAAATTTTAACATAATCAGAAGTATCTCTTCCTGGTTTTGATTTTAAAATAGGCCCGATAACTTCCTACTGAAGACTCTTACAAAATTCACAATACAATAAAATATGATCCGCCATTTCAAGATCAATATCATTATGGGGACAGAATCTTTGAGAGATGGGGTTTTTTGAAATCTACCATAGAGCATATTTGATGACAACACATTTAATCTGGCTTTTGAAAAGGCTATTCTGTATTTACTTAAGTATAAATTATTAAGATATTTACGGAGCTGAAAAGTACATCTGTAATTAATTCCGAAAGTTATAGATAAACTCAGCACTTTGGCTTTTGCCATGAATTCCTGTACTCAATTATCCCATCATCTTGCTGATGTCATTCCCCTGGAAAACAGATCATCAGGATCAATGCCAATCTGACTAATCTTTTGGGTCACCTGTTTAAACCATATATTTAGTAAAAGAGTCATTTGGGATTTCCTGAAGCATTCCTATGAATTTAGGAATCAAACACGTCCTTTTCTGGATTTCTTCCTTTCTTTTTTCATCACTGAGACAATACACTTTTTATTTCAAAAATAATCTATTTTGCAATAATGCCATAAAATCCAGTTTCTTTTCTGCTTTACTTCAGCAGGACGTGGCGTGATCCCAGCAATGCCAGCAATTCCTATAACTTCCACCACCCAACTCATACAGCAAATGTCATTGTCCTGTCTTTGCTTTTCATTGACATTCAAAGAAGGCCAGCCGCAAAAGAGCTCAGGTAGGAACTACTGCAAGCATTGCTGAATGGTAAATATAATACAGGACTCAGAATGGGAAGAGGTGGAATAAGAGAGATCCAGGCCAGATATCCAGATGCCATTTTTTACATGTATTCAAGATAAATGCGTAGAGAAATAGCTTTTGACTGCTGTCATGTCATAATTAATACCTGCTATTCTATGTAATAGCACATTCAGTGAGTTTGCACCAACAGGGTTGTAAGCAAAACAGAGCCACAAAAAAGGAAGCATTAACATTATCTGGGAAGTTGCAGATGCACAGATAATCTTTAGGGTCAAAGGCTTTGGAGAGCACTTCACCAGCCCCCAAATCACACTGCTGAAGACCAAGTATTCAGTGGGATCCATGTGGGGGGGGGGGATGTCAATGACATCAAAATAGCAGGTGCAAGTGAGTGATTGAAACTACTCCCATTTTTAACATGTATCACATGCATCCCATGGACATTAAAATAGTGCTTTGATTGCTTGGTTGCACCTGACATTTTGATACTGTTGAACCCCCTTCATATGCCCCTGTGAACATCCTCAGCAGCCACGGATTAACCTGAAAAGTTACTAAATATGATTTTTACAAGTAGAAAATTTAAAGTTCTAATAAATTAGAATATTTAATAAATAGAATAATTTATTGCTTATTGTTTAAGCAAACCAAGCTCTGTTAACTCTGTTACCTGTTTCTTCCTTCAAATCTTTTTAGAGTATGTTTGGTTACTCAACCAAATCTGACAAAGGCTTGATAGAAAAAAGTATTAAGTGACAGTTCTTTTTTTTCTTGATGTATTTAGAGAATGGCTTTGAGGAGCTATTTTTTTCATCTATATTTCTCAATATACTTTTACAGGTCTGCTTAAAATCAAAGGTGGTAGCAGCAGCACTGGTCAAGACAAAGAGTCACTTTTATCTGACAAATTTGACCCATGTCCTGAAGCTAGGGAGAAGCTCCGTGACATCTGCCATCTTATGTGAGCTTTTTCAAACGCTTAGGACAGAAGACGTATTATTTCTAACAACAAATAGCATCAGCTGCTTTCGCATTCTGCAGGCTCATAGAACTGCCTCAGTTCTATAATGATTTGGTACCTAAACTGACACAGTGGGCACCATCCATGAGGCAATACTATATGGAAATGCCAGTTGGGGTAGGCAGCATATCTGAATGCAGAGAAATGCTTAGAGAGAAACATACAGTGAAAGAACACGTGGACAAATCACACTGCCCAGCAACAGGGTTATAACATTTATACGTTATATAATATATTATATGATAAAACAATATGTTTCATCAGGGCCTGGAGCAAGGATGACCTGGCCTAGAGACCATCCCTATTACTAGGAAGAAAACAAACAAACAAGGCCACTTTCTTTCAGATATGCCTACAGATAGCTGTGGAAGTATATTGCCTTGTCCTATCTGGTACAACAGCAAAGAGCAAATCTAATTAAATGTTTGAGGTTTCAATGAAGCAGGTTCCTCCCAGATCCTCTCTAACAATGTTCTAATCCAGTGTTTCTCAACCTTAGCAACTTTAAGATGTATGGACTTCAATTCCCAGAATTCTATGCTATCTGGGGAATTCTGGGAGTTGAGGTCCACTCATCTTAAAATTGCCAAGGTTGAGAAACACTGTTCTAATCATTTGCATCTGATCTGGTACACCTGATTCTAATTTTAGCTACTTCAGGTAGCGATCAGTGTAGGGGTGTACTTTTTCCACATGCAAAATTTGAATGTATGTTTATTTAAATTACACAATGTACTACAAAATGTAAATGGTGTGTGATATTTATAATATCCCCTTCATCTATCAACATTGTTAAAATGAAGATCAAATATCTGTATGTTGAAATATGTTGAAACATTTCTGTGGGGTGTACTGGCATTTTCACATGACTGCACGTGATGGTGATTTCTTTTCCTTTCTCATTCTTTTAGGTAGAGGGGCAAAGGGGATTTTTATTGCCACAGTACTGTCTCCATACTCATACAACATACTGTTTGTAGTTCTTTTTCTGCAAAATCAGTTCTGAGAACAGGACTGGGGAGTCTGTGGCCCACGTGCATCTCCCAGCCCTAAAGAATGAGCAACTCAGTTTTGTCAACAAAATGGCTAAATTCAGAAGTAAGGGTGGGATGGGAGCAGGAGACTATCTTTAAAGTACATTTTTAAAAAGTCCTTTTTCACCTTAATGTCAGCTCTTGTTTTGGCACTTAGCAGAAATGATTGACGTGTGAACAGAGCGCAAGGCCTCTGAGAGGTGGACTGTCAAATACTCATCCCCGATAAACACAGCAGAAAGTATATTTGATTGCAGTAGTAAATACATACATACAGCCCCAAATCAGTCTGAAAATGGAAGTTTAGGGCCATGTTTGGGCAGATGGGAAGTTTTAGGGGTCGAAGTGAGAGCAGTTTTCCTCCCAAACACCTCATACCCCATTCCAACTCTTAAAACATTTTCAAGTCCTATATAATGGCCTCAGAAATGTGATTTCAAGTCCTTTTAAATGATTGGAAGGCATTTAAAGATGGCAATAGAAGCCGTTTACCTCTCAGAGGCTTCCTGATATCATTTTCACCCTTAATCTCTTGCAATAATTGCTGAGAAATTTCAGATGGCCTCTGGAATCTGCTGAGTTGTGATCTCAGTCTCTCAAATATTGGTTTAGAGCAGTGTTTCTGAACCTAGGGAACATTAAGAAGTGTGGACTTCAACTCCCAGAATTCCCAGCCAGCATGGCTGGCTGGGGGATTCTGGGAGTTGAAGTCCACACTTCTTAATGTTTCCTAGGGTCAGAAACGCCAGCATGGCTGGCTGGGGGATTCTGGGAGTTGAAGTCCACACTTCTTAATGTTTCCTAGGGTCAGAAACGCCAGCATGGCTGGCTGGGGGATTCTGGGAGTTGAAGTCCATACAGCTTAATGTTCCCAAGGTTGAGAAACACTGGTTTAGAGTGATCTCTCCCTTTTTAGCTATCACATACCTTGCAATCATTAGGAAAAGATATTAAGAAAAGCATTGGGTTGCGAAATTGCCGGCATGCTATCCTGTTATTGTCACAGCCTACAGGGGCTTTAAAATAGAAACATAAGGAATTACAACTGCACAATGGGGGGACTTCTGCTTGTACCATCCATCCAGATGAGGCTGATATTGGAAACTTTGGGATAAAAGAATACATTAGAACCTCACTTTCTTGTTTGCATGGAGATAGGGTGCAGACCATTTTTTTTTGCTTCCCCTCCAGGACTTGCAGATGACTGGGGCAGAATAATTTTTTGCCTTCCTGTATTTTTCAGCTGGAGGGATAGTATCGATTGGCTCACCTTTCAATTCTGAGATCTGCAGAAATGGGAATGATCACAGATGTTTCTGACTTGTTTCCAAGGGACTGGGGAATAGAGATGATGCAATATGGAAATGCCCTCTCTCTCTTTCCAATTACTATCACATTTCACTAATAACGGTTTATTGCTCTGGGGATGATGCGTGTTAGGGGAGAATTTCTACTTAATCTCCATTTTCTATGACTGTCAAAATCAAGGAGAAATTAATACTGCACCTTTTTTTTTTTCTTTGGTATTTCCAGTTTCTGATCAAGTAACAAATGCTCTTTCTTTTCTTTTCCTTTCTGTGCTAACACATAGTGTCAGTTTTACCACA